ACTTTTTTTAAAGCAATTAGTAATACTGAATCAAAAGCTTTTTTTATATTTTGCAAAACTAACCATAGCTTATTGTTGTTCTCTTGGCATCTTCCATTATTGCATTTATAATATGCACTGGCTTTTCAGTTAAGTTTCTGGCAGACCTGCAAAGTTTGGTTCTTTAAGTATATTCTTTTTACAAAAAATCTTTGTTAATCTTTTAGTTAGAATTTTTGTTGTATACTTTCAAAAGGTCTCTAAAAGTGCTATTGGTCTAACATTATCTAAATTGTAATGCCAGTCTGTTTTTTTAGGAATTGGGTATATCTGTAAAATCTTCTATTTGTCTGGAATTTTGCCTGTTTTAATACAAATTTCTGCAAAATTTCTGAAGATTTCTTGAAACTTAGGCTCTGCTGCTTGGATTAGAGTATATGTAATGTCTGAAATTCCTGGTGCTGTTTTCTTTTTAAGGCCTAATAGCATTTCACTCCATTCTTCTTCTATAATATTTTGTTTTAGATCTTGGTACTATTTTTCTTTTATTGTTCTTTTTGGTTTGTATACTTCTAACCATCATTCTTTAAAGATTTCTTGGTTAAAATGCCTTGATCTAAACTGGTTTTGGTAGTTTTCTTTTGTCTTTTTTAAAACTTCTGTTGATTCTATAAATAGTTTTTTCATTCCTTTACCTCTCCTATTAGTCTATCAATTTTAATTTTTTTTAATGATTTATCTAATAGACTTATTAACATTTTGCCTTGCTTTCCATCAATTATTTGGCATCTTTTTTTATATTTTCTTTAATTTCTTTTCTTCTTGATTATCTAGTTCACTGGCCCTTCTTGCACAAAGTATTTTTTACCAACTTTTTAAATCCTCAATGAGTTCACAAAACCAACTCTTCTGTGCCAGATTTATATATATTCTGTACAGTTGATTAATAAAGATAATTTCTTTATTTAGGTCTTCTAAGTAACCTAGTTTGATATTTTTTTCTTCCAATATTTATTCATCTTTTTAACTGGATAAGTGTTTTTACTAATTGCACTTCTTTTGTTTTCTTTCTTTTGTTAAATGTTGTATTTGCTAGTTTTTTTTTTGAAAGATATTTGTATGCTATTGTGATAATGTTATTGCTAATTACATTCTACTATTTATTTATGTTCTTCTTATTTCTAATGTTTTTTTTTAATCGAGAAAACTTTTCCAAATCTTGGATGAGAATTTTTTTTCTAGTTGTTTATTGAAATTTTGCTTATAGTTATTCCAATTCTCTTCAGTTGCTTTGTCATACATAATTACTGTTTTTTGATGTTTTTTCTTCTAATTTCTGCTGCACTGTATAACATAATCAGGTGATTCAACTTTATTTTTGCTACTACTGTATTATAATCACTATTTGTACATACATCCATTAGCTGAATTTTTGCTTTGTAAAGACCATTTGCTAGTTCTTCTATAATCCAAATATAATCAATTCTTGAACCTTAACCTTAACTTAACTATAAGATTTCTTTTAATTCTGGATTAATTAGTCTAAATGTAACTCTAAATTCTTGTCTTTCAAGCCAACCCAACAATAAGTTTGGTTTTGGTTGATTTTTCTTTGATTTTGTCAGTCTATCTAAGTTAACATTTACTATACTATTAAAATCATCTATAATCACTATTTGTGTTCTTTCAAGTCCCTTAATATACTTGTCTATAATTGTTTTTTGAATTTGTCTTTGTTTTTCTTTGTTATTTGATGACAAGTAAGTTATTATAACTATAATTTCTAGCTGTTTAAATATGAAACTAGCTGAAATTATATACTTGTTTACTCTGTTTATCTGTTCTAAATGTTTTTTCACTAATTGCTAATTAGCAAACCTACATCTGAATCTTTTTTTTTTGTCCAAAAACTTTTATATTCTTCTAGATTTCTTTTTAGAAAGAATCCCTCTTTAGCTGAAATCTTTGTTTCTGAAAGTCCTTTGATATTAAGTTCATTATCTATTATTCATTTATACAGTGATTTTATTTTCTGATTATTTGCTTTGAGACTATTAATGTTGTGTATTGCTAGTTTAAGCTTAATTTTTTTATTTCATATATTCTTCCTGTATGAATTTTATGTTGAGTATTCCTAGTCTCTTGCTAGGAATTATCTTTATCTATTTGTTTTTTTCTTTCTTTACTATTATCTATATTTAGTAATTCTACTTTATCTTTTCTAGAATTTTTCTTTAAATATAGAGTGTTTTCTTGTATTATTTTTGTTTTGACTACTTGAACTTGTGAAGAAAAGCATATCTCTATATCTGTTAACTTCAAATTAACTTCAGCAACTATTAAGAATAGTTTGCTGATTTTTATCTTATTATCATGTTGTTATCCTTTTTATGCATTTCTAATTTGTCAAGTCTGCTAAGTATTTTTAACAATAATCTTTCTATAGATGTTTCCATGTCACCTTTTTGCACACTTTTGTTTTTCTACTTTTGTTTCCTCATTTCTTTTCTTCTTTCTTCATATGTGTATTCCCTTTTTTGAATATTATTTTTCTCCTTTCTCATTATTGTAATTTTTGTTAGTTATTCTTGTTTTTTTTCTTGTCTTTCTTTTTACCTTGTAGTCTTTTCAAAAAACTGTATAGTTGTTGTATCTTATCAGTTTGGACTATGCTGCTTCTAATTCTTTCTGACTTCAAATATAATTATTGCAAATCTCTTAGAGTTACCATTTCTGTTTGTAGAAATGTATGCTGATTTTGCACCTTTACTTTTTAAACTTTGCAGAAGCAACACCTCTAAAGCTTCTTTGAAAAGTTTTAGTAGTTTTGCTGTATAAAGGCTTTGTTTATTTCTTTGTTTATAATTTTTTTTCTTTTGAGTTACTCAGACTAACTTGTTATTATCTAATAGTAATAATTATGGGATGTAATTATCATTACTGCTTGTAACCTCAATTATTAACAGTGTCTTAAATTGCAATCTTTTGACTTTTACTATATGTATATTAAAAAGGCTTCTGCACATATGCTCTATTTCTTTATATTTGACATTTACTAACAAGTTCCAAATTGGCATATATCTTGTAATTTCTATTTTCTCTTTTCCCTTTTTGCTAGAACTAGATTTTTCTACTTTTTTTTTAAAGTGTAAGTTGAATTCCTCTTTTTGTAAACTTAAGGCTACTTGATGTCTTTCTTGTATTCTGGGTTTATTATTTCTTTACTTTTTTAAGAATGTATGTTAGATTTTCTTTCTGAAATTTTTAACTTCTTCTGAAATAAGTTTATACCAGACTTCTTCTTTTTCTTTAATATGCTCACTTAATGTTTTTTTGCTGTATTCACAGTTAAAATCAACTACCACTCAGCTATTATAATTTTGAAATTTCTTTTCAATTGTCTTAATATGTTTGTTTCTACTAAGAACCCACTTCATATAGTTGATTCAGTATTCTTTAGTTTTTCTTAAAACTTTAAAAGATGTGATTTTCACTTTAAAGAAAAACCTCTTGTCACAGATTCTGTTTTTAGGTAACCAGAAACTGTCTTTTAACTGAGTTACTACTGATTTAATTTCTAATTCTTTCTGCTTAGTTGTTTCTTTGACACTTTGGATTATATTTTTCTGTAAAATTTTCTAACTTTTCTTGTGCTTTTTTTTATTTGACACTCTAATACGATTATTTTCAATTACTAGTATCTTCTTATTTTACTTGTTAGTTCTATTTGTTGTGCTACTACTTGATACTTTCTTGTGTCTGGTGTTTCTATTTGTTTTATACCCTTGTTTGCTTTTATATCTGCATTATTGTATCTTCTGTTTGTCATCTTTTCTTAGATATTGCACTAGAATAATTTTTTTCATTTCTATTATTTTCTTTGATCCTTTTTATATTGTTCTTTTTCTTTTTTATTTTCTTTTTGTTTAAACTTAACATGTAATCAACTGAATCTAGATTTTGGCTTGATATTTTAATTTTACTGGCCCAATCTTCAATAGTTTTTTTTGGTATTGTTTTAGTTTCTTCTGATGTATATCTTAGAGCTTTGAGTATTTGCTTTATAGTAGAAGATCTTTAGTTGTAATTTTTGAAGATTACCAAGAGCTAAGTTTTTTGCTATAGTTTTTAAGTCACTTAGTTTTTTAGTTATAAATGTTTCTAGAATGCAGTTTAATTTACTGCAGTTTAAGTATCTACGCAATTTGTTACCTGTTTATTGCACCTGCTAAATTAGACTTTGTTTGTTGATTATCTCCATTTGATTACTTTATTTGCTTGCTTTATTTTGTATTTTGTTGTTTGACTATCTATTACCTAATTTAGTTTTGTATGTGACTTGATTTTTGTTGTTTTCTTTTGTTGATAGTTATAAATTTCTATATCTGGAATGTAGTTGTTTTTTGTTTTTGATGTTTACTGTTTTGATTAATCACATATACTTTACAATTTTTCTGAAGTAGCATAATGCTCCACTTTTGTTTAGAAAAAAATGTTTCAAAACTGAATTCAAGTTTTTTAAATAATTTGGTTCTAATAAAATAAAATTTATATTGAAATAAAAAGAGAACAAACTGACTAAATAAAATCTATTACCTTCTAGATACTTTAAGAAAAACAGCCAAGTTGATTAGTCTGTATGAGACAGAAATGATAAATAATCAAAAAAATTATTTGCTCTTTACTAAGATTGCAAACTTTATACTAGCAACCAGACTAAAATTAGCTACTTGTGGCTTTTGAATTTATAGCAATATTAAATCTAACAGTATTAAGTCCAATATTTTTAAAAAAGGCTATATTATTAAAGAGAACTTATAATATTGTTTTAAAATTTTTGTCAATTTTGTTTGTTTTGATAAGTTTAATTTATTTTATTATTTAATACTAATTTTTAATTTAATTTATTTATTTATTTATATAATTTATTTATTTACTAAGTATACCTTTGCAGAACAATCCAATAATTGCATTTGAAGAAAATTTTTAAGCAAATCTATTTGATCTGATTTTTGAAATAGTTTAGTTCAATTACTCACAGAAATTGCTTATCAAGTATCTCTATTTACTATAAAAGAAGTTATAGAATTTGCATCAAATATTGAAGATTCAAATTCTATAGATTATTTTTATCCTTATCTATTAACTAAAAATTGGAAATTACAAAACTGTATCATTAAATTAATCATCAATAAATGCTAAGTAATTTTTTTTGTTCATTCTATATATAGATACTATAATTAATGCTAATATTTTATACTTTTTTTTAGGTATTAGATTTCCAAATTCTTTCAGTTTCTTCAAAATTTTTATGAATTAAAAAAAATAGTTGTTTTAGCAAATGTTGCTTGTTTTTTGTCATATGCAAAATATAGCTTAAAGATTAGCTGTTTGATATAATTTTGTGATTAATAATTCTTATAATAGCTTTATTATCTGGCTTTTAAATAACAAAAAGCTATACAAAATTGAAGTATATTTGAAGTTACTATATAATTACATAAAATTTTAATTTACAGAAACTCACTATATGTAAAATTATTGTAATTTTATTTGCTAGTTTTTTTTTTAACCAATCTAAAGATATGAGTGAAATGCTGTAATTTGTTGTAATTATAATGAATTACAACAAAAAATGCTGCAATTCATTATAGTTACAACAAATTACAACATTGTGCTCACATCTTTAGACCAAGCTAAATAATATAACAATTAATTATAATTATTAATTAAAAACCTACAAGTATAAATATGTTCCATTAAAGTATTTTTATAATTAATAAGTTTCAAATTATGACACTTATTGAATGAAAACAAAGAGATATCATATCTGCTCAAAAATCAGAAAAGTCATATAGACAAATTGCTAAACTTGTTGGTTATGATGCAAAGACTATTAGAAATATACTAAAACAACATAACAATTTATCTCAAATATCATCAGATCATCAAGAAAGACCACTACTCTTAGATAAAACTGCATACAATCACCTAATACAACTTGTTCTAGAGGATCGCTATATAACTAAAAGAACAATTTAAGCTGTATTAGAACAGCAAGAAGGCAAATTATAATATTTTTTTTATCTGCTTTATATTTTATTATTCATTTTATTTTATTTATTACTTTTATTTTATTTTTTAAAAATTTTATATATTAAAGGTAATTTCTCAAAGAACAATTAATTATATTCTTAAAAAAACTAATCTATTTATATATGTTATTTGTGCAAAGCATTTTATTAATGTTAAAACTAAAAAAGAACATTAAGAATAGGTAAAAATGCATCTTAATTGGACAACTAAAGATTGAAAAAATGTCCTTTGGTCAGATAAAATGTTTTTTTGTTTATTCCTTCTAATCTGCATTAATATATATAGAGAAGATTAGAAGAAAAATTTGACAATAATGCCTTGTTTTAGCAATAAGGTTTAAAGAAATTATAATAAAAAGATGTTTTTCTTGGTGGGGTCTCAGCCCTCTTGTTCATCTTCATAGCAGTATTACAAGTGTTTTCTACTGTAAAACATTTAATTATTATGCTATTCCTGTTCTTTAGAACCAATACTCTAATAGTAATAAGATATTCCAACATAATAGTGTTTTGGTTAACAGAAATACAATTATTAAAAGGTATTTAGCTAATAAGCAAATTAAAACATTAAACTGGCCTCTATATAGTCCAGACCTTAATTCAATAGAAAAGCTTTGGTCTGAGATTGAAGAAAAGCTTTGAAAATGTTATTTAAAACCTAGTAATCTTAATGAACTTGAAAGAATGGTTAAGGAAGAATAAAAAGCATTATCTCCAAGTTATTTTAGGCATCTTGTTGAAAGTAAGATAGATTATGTCAAAGAGGTATATAAGAAGATGAGTAGTCATTTACATTATTAATTTTGGTAAATAATTATATTATCGATATTTTAATAAAATAAGTTTCTTAAATTTAAATAAATTATTAGTTACTTAGTAAAATTTAAATAATTGTTATCATGTTCAAATTAATTTATTACTTTTGAATTATAGTAATGGTAATTAAATTAATTACCTTACATATGTGCAAGCCACCTATATATTACTTGATTAGTAATTAGATAGCTATATTATATTGTTATGCTACATAAAACTGAAAATTGGTACTATGCAAAAATTTTTATTAGAGTGCTATAACTATATAAAATTAGCATAACAAAGTAATAGGTTATTTTTAATAATCTGTTCAGAACATTACTCATAAAAACTTACAGTTTTGAGTGTATCTTTTATAAAAACTAATAACCAATAAGCAACTAATAGAACTCATATACAATTTATAAGCAATTTTACAAATTATTGATAAATAATCACTTTTAATTTTGGTAATCACACTGTATTATATATTTTATTGTCTTAAATTCTATTTAATCTCATAATTCAACTTAACTAATCACAAAATTAAAGATTTTTATCTATATAATAAATTGAATTATAAAATATAAAATAACAGAAAATATAATAATGCTATTAAGAATAATTATTAATAAAAGATTTAGAAAAGAGATAATTATTATAAAATTTATAAGCTCATACTTAAATATATGTTAAACTAATCATAAATTCCACTATTAGCAATAATAACACTAGTAGTAAAATCTAAGAGTAGCATCAATGACTACATCAATGATGAAATTTTACTATATCATTAATAGCAAAAGCCCAATAATAAAATTTATCACTATTAGCTGCAGCATTAATGATGAAGCCAAGAGCATTATCAATAACTCAAGCTACCTAGAAGGGCTACATACATAACACAATTCACTACCTGCAAAAAACTATACCAAATTGTAGCAAATACAAACCATTTAAACAACACTTATTTAAAAAAAATAAAGTATTAGTAATAATTACAGTATTTATATATGGAATAAATAAAAAAAATTACTTAGCATTAAGTTAAATAAATAAATTATATAGATAAATAAATAAATTAAATTAAATTAGTATTAAATAAAAAAAAATAAACTAAAAAACATTAAAAAATTTTAAAAGAAATTTGACTTATATTAAACTATTATTTGCTATATATATATAATATTATAAATTTAATTACATGATTTACATTAAGTATATAGTATATAATAGCTTGAATAATTTTAATCTGAGTTAAATTTTTTTTAAAATTTTTTAAACTTTTTTTTAGTTTATTTTTTTTTATTTAATATTAGTTTATTTTTTTTTATTTAATATTAATTAAATTTTTTTATTTAAAGTTAATTTATTTTTTTTATTTAATATTAATTAAATTTTATTTATTTATTTACCTATATAATTTATTTATTGCCAAATATACTGATCATAAAATGATTATTAAAGCAACTAGATCTATAATTAATACATATTATTGGTTTGGAATTTGGCAAGCCTATCGATAATCTAATTTAACTCTTATATAATATATAGTAGCTAAGTTGAAATAGGCAGATTATATTTGACCAGTGGGTTCTTGTCTATAAGTAAGTACTGACCTTCTCTTAGTCTTTTCTTAAATCTGTTCTTATACTAATTTGTTTTTATTTATGCCTTAATTTGGGATTATACTATATCAAATCAGGATTAGATCTCTTCTCTTATATTACTGTAGCTTGTCTTTTGGTTATATGACTATCTCAAGTGATAAATTTAGTGTTGATTGTTTTTGGATAAACAGGTGGTATTAGTAATAGATTAACTTTCTGGCTATAATAAATATTAGGTTTATTGAGTTATTTAAAATAAATAAAATAATTTATTATTATTCTTTTAAACTAATTTTTTTTGTTAATTTATATGAATTTTTAGTGCTTGATATATTTTATCATATAATATTTGAAACTTTTTAGATGACAAATTTATCCTAGCTTATAGAGAATGAAGAAAAATATATAATCAAATAGATGTCACCAAAATAGACTATAATAAATAAAATATATATATATATAAAATATTCAATTAAAATTTATATATAAGGCCAAGAAATATATGTCAATAAATCAAATATTGCTATAATAATTATATCATATGATAATTATAACAATTGTAATGAAATTATAATATAATATTACAAATTTAATAGTAAACTTTAACCTTAATTATTTAAGCTTCTAGTGATTAAAATTGAATAATTTTTTTTATTTGAAAGTAAATTTCTTTTCTACAAAAAAAAAAAATTATATTGAATTTATTATTAGTTACTAAGATAATTAAAATATATGATAATTAATAAAATTTAACATATTATGATAAATTAGTTGAATTATTTCTGCAATCAGTAATTAAATTTTGATATTTTTTTATTTTAAATTAATAATTATTAAGAAAACTTGAATGAAAGATTGAACTATAAAAATTTTGTTTTTATTAAAATTAGATTGATAGTTTTTTTTTTTAATATTAAGGTGAGTAATTGTGATCTAGAAATTTATTGATAATTAGTTGCCTATAACTATTATGTACAATAGCTATAAAGACAATCATAGAAAGAGTGTACAACTAGTCACTTATACAACTTTAGTTATTGTTTATTTTAAGTAGTCTGCCTGAAGGTTCTATACTAGTTGGCATACCTAGAACCCATCTATGGGTTCTCTATTTAAACACTCTATCAACTGCAGGGTTACTGCAAATATACTATGTTCACTAAGTTATATTTAACTTTATACTAAGCCACTAGAGCCTTTTGTATCCCTTACTTACAGCTGATTCAGTACTGTCTGGCCTAGGCTATCACTTGCAATTAGAGCTAACTATTAAACTGCTATACCTTTATAAAGTTCAATAGAACTCTGATACCTTCTTTTTCTAACAACTTCCTTTTATTCTGAACCTACAAGATTTTCCAGACTACCAATTCAGATGGTATTCTAAAATTCTTTACTTCTAGCAATTTCTAGCAGCCTAGTTGGTATATGCTTCTCTACACATATTATCATTCATTCTATACTAGTTATTCCTTCTAAGGCTTCCAATGGTTCAATAGTACTATTAAAGTCCATGCTACCTCTTTACTCAGAATTTCCAAGTAGATTTTTGTGCTCTGGTTTCTTAGAGTTATGTATTTAGTGGTCTTATTATGGGTTTGTACCAAAGTCTTATGCAATACTAGTTATTTAATATTTCTTTATGTATATATAATGTTACATTTTATATAGATGCCCTAAGCTCCTATTTAAGATGATGCATCTAAGATTACAGATCTTCTTTTGTCTAAATGATCAATGAAACACAGTTACCATAATACAGATATAATTATTCAAATTTCACTATCAGGGTGTGGCGACTTAGTGAAGTGGATAAGTTGTCATACTCCTAAGTGGTAGGTTGTGAGTTTAAAAACCCACCTATGGTGAAATTTGGATAATCACCTATGTAATATATAGACAGTATTATGATGATAGCATTCTGTCGATCAGTTGGGATAGGATACCTGTAACTATAGTCACACCAGCATAACTGGCAGGTCTGGGGCATTTGTGTAACCTGTTACATGGAGGAATGCAAATCAGTACTAGGTAGTGCAAACCTAAAATAAGTCCTCGGCCCATGTAAATCCATAGAACTGAAAAGCTAAAGCCTACTTGGAAATTTCAAGCAGAGAGGTAACACGGATCTTCAACAGTACTACTGTAAAGGCTAAACCTAGGAAATGGATACCAATGTGAAGGATTCAGGCAGGCAAGAACCTCAGGTAAGGGGTACCACCAACCAGGCCCTGGATTTCGGACCGGAGGAAAAGAATATTGGGCTGGCCTCAATATACCAAGGACAGGTCATAGTCCTTTCGGGCTATCTGGATTGGGAGTCTGGGTTCAAAGCAGAAGTATACTAAAAGTACTAAGAATATGCTGTAAAGTCAGTACTGGGGTCTGGGTAAACTCTGTAAGGGTAGCCTATGTTAGTGTTTTAAAAATAGGTAAATAGTTAACAACAGGAGGCCTTTTGTGCCTTACTGGCAAGTGATAGTGATATACTCTAAAATATGTAATGATCTAGAAACCAGTACAAAAAGAGTAAATATCATACTGCTTAGACAGTATATCAGGTAGGTATATATAGAAGGTTAGTTGGGGATTTCAATATGACAGATAGGGTCCAGAGTGGGCTAGGCTAAGCCTGTAAATTAGCAGGCCAAGCCAGGCTTGGGCCTAGTTCAGGCCCACAATTTTTATAATACAGGCCTGGCTTAAGTCGGGCCTAACAAATACCGTGTCGGACTTGGGCTCAAAAAATATGCCTAACTAAACCTGATAAGACCATAGTACAAATAAAGGTAAGTAATACAATTATGTACATACACGTATACTTTTTTTTCTGTTAGTACATGGTTATTTATTTTTACTTCAAGAAAGTTTACTTAGTCTGGACATATAGTATGCAGCAGGCTACCAAGTGTGTGTGAATATAGGTCAAAGAATTCAATTATTAAGTGTATGTGAATATAGGTCAAAGAGTCGGCTACTAAGTGTGTGCAAATAAAAAATTTGGCTACTAAGTGTGCAAGTATAGGTCAAAGAAATCAGAAGAATCTGTCAAAAAAAAAAAACTTTAAATAAATAAATAAATAAATAAAAAAAGAATGATAAAAAAAAAAAAGAAAAAAGTGAGTAATAAAAAATGTATTAAATTATATGAAAAAACAGGTTTAAAAACTTTTTTATTTAGATTGCATAATATATAACAAGCCAGTCATTAATTCAATATTAAACAAATCCTTTGCGCATATATGCTATCTTACTATTCATATATAAAATTAATTAAAATTAATATTAATTTAAAAGGTGTTGACAATTTGAATTATTTTATTATAATTTTTTTTTTTTTTTTACATACAGATAGAAGATGGATAATGGTATGCTGACCATTAACATGCTAGAGAAATTATGTTTAGAAATAGCTTTACTAATATGTGTTCATCATAATTAGAAACCCAAAGCATCTGTTCTGCTGTTAGTCAAAATGAAAGATCTGAAGCAACCAATATTAATAAGGGCTCTGAGGCATCAACTGTAATAACCATCGTTAATAAAAATTCTGAACTAACCATTGTTAATAACAAAAAGCACAAAAGAAATGATTCACAGTCTTGAGTCTTTAAAGAAGGCTATTTTGTTAGACACGATCCTAAAAAGGGTAAAAATGCTTTTTTTAATAATATTATAATTATTAATTTTATTAGCTAGTTGATACTTATACTATGTTATTGCTAGAGGATCATGTTCAATATATTCATTGTAAAAGCATTTTGAAACATGTTAATGAGATAGGAACCAGTTCTTTAATACGCCACATGAAAAATACGAAATGCAAAAAATATTTGAAAAATGATAAATCACAACAAACGCTCCAATTATCTGAATCAGGCCTTGTTGCCTACAAGTTTTCCCAAAAAACAAGTTGACAGGATATGATAGAAATAATAATTAGATATTCATATTCATTTTCTATAGTCAAGCATAAAAGATTTATAAAGTTCACTAGCAATTTACAACCACAATATAAAATGGTAAGTGAGAAAACAGTGTGTAAAGATTGTATGAATATTGTCGATGATCTTAAAGAAAAAGTTCGCACGATAGTTCAAGAAGCTCCTGGGCATCTAAGTTATACGACAGATTTATGGACATCTAATTAGACTCTGGGTTATATGGTCATAACATGCCATTTTATTAATAAAGAATGGAAGTTCCAGAAATTAGTTTTGGGGTTTAAATAGGTTCCTGCACTCCACACAGAAATTGTTATTAGCAAAATGCTTTTGAAGTATATTAATGAGTAGAATATTATGTCAAAAACATTAGCCATTACTATGGATAATGCAACTAGCAACAATGCCATGATAAGAAATATAAAGTACAAACTTGAGAAACAAAATATGCTTATTGCTAATGGAAGTTTGTTGCACCAACAGTGCTATGCTCACATACTGAACCTCATAGTTAGCGATAGTCTCAAAATGGTTAGAAATATTGTATGCAAAATTAGAGAATGTGTGAAGTGAATTTATGGTTCGCAATATTAACAACAGAATTTCAAAGATGCTGTAATTGGAAGTTGTAGTGAGCTTAAGTTAAGTCTTCAACCAACTTTTGATGTACCTACACATTAAAACTCTGTATATCTTATGCTATTGTCTACAATTCCATATAAAAATATGTTTGAATGTCTCACTTTACAAGATGCTAATTTTAGTGATATTATGCTCTTTAATAATGATTGGGAAAAAGCTGGGAAAATTTGTAAATTTTTAAAGCTGTTTTATGAAGGTAATTAGGGATGTAGTTGCCTGAATGGTTGGTCTTTTTTAATATAGAGCCAGTGGTTTAAACTACTAGTTCTAGATTAAAAAAGACAAATTAGCCTAGGTTACTGACATAATGAAGAATCTATAATACAATCTTCATAATAATCCATCAAAATATATATCAAGCATAAATAAGTAATGGAAAGGAAAATTTTGTAAGCCAAATCATTAACATTCACTAAGGCGAACTTAAGTTTGCCTTAGTGAATGTTAATGATTTGGTTTACAAATTTTCTTTTTCTATTATTCAAATTATTATTTAGTCTTTGAGGTTTGTAAAAATAAACTAATTTTTATTAATTTTTATTAATTTTAATCTAGTTACAAATATTATTTCAGGAAGCACATATTCAACAGTGAATATTTTTCTTCCTGAATTGATAAAAATTAAGACACATATCGAGCAAAATACTAATAATATTAATCTTTTTATTTGTCAAATAACAGCGTCAATGCAATTAAAGTTCAATAAATATTGGTCAGATATGGGAAAAATGCATTGTATTGCATCAATAATGGATCCTCACTATAAGATGTTATTAATTACTCATATATTCAAGCAGAAAATGCATTTATCATACACTGAAGTGGAGGACAAAATAAATTTTATTAAAACAAGGAAAGTATTTTATATACAATTTTTTTTAAATTTATTATTTTTTCTCTAACTTGATTATTTTTATCATGTAGGGCTACAATGATTTATAAGTTAGCTTATATGCAAAATACATTTTCTTCTAATAATTATAATGATTTTTTTGATATTTTTTCACAAGACATGACTTTATATAGGGCTTTGACTGTTTTATTGCAGACAATTAGGTTAATGTTACACATAATATGGATGAGTTTAAACAGTATCTCGCTGATTCGCTTGTTCCCCATTCTTGCACAGAAACGTTTGATGTTTTAATTTAGTGAAAGGAGAATGAATTAAGATATTCTTCTGTGTCATCAATGGCAAGGGACATTCTTGGTGTTCTGATAACTTTAGTTGCTTCTGAATCGGTAAGTAAGATTTGGGCAAAGCATTAATTTATTTGATATAGGCTAACTTATATTTTTAGTAATTAATGCTAAAACTAACACGATCTAATCATTATAATTATTTTGATTAGTTTTAGCATCAACTGTGTTATTAATCATTTAGATCTTTAACATAGCAGTGAGAATTGTTGATGATAATCAGTTAATCTTGCTCCAAAAACTATCGAAATGTTAATATGTGCACAAGACTGGCTAAAGAATGCAAAGGAACAAGGCTGGGACAAATTAAAGAACGATGCATCAAATATGTGAAACATGTTTTTTTTTAGATAAGCCTTTTTTAATAAGTATTAAAAAACGAATACCATAGTGATTTTTTCTGATCAACAATCTTTATGAAAAAAAGTAAGCTATGCTTTCAAAATTTTTTTTTTTGAAAAATTTTTATGAGATTTAAACATTTTCATGATCAAGGTAATAAACCCAGATACTGTTGTTAACATAGAATACAGGTTGAAAAAGATAATCAGAAAATCTAAATGTAAATCATTGTAATAGTAGAATGTCAAAAGTTTAATAATATTTGTGAATATAATTATAAAATTGTAATTGAAGTTGGAAAAAAGTAAAATAGAAAATTTTTACAAAGTATATTTTGTAGTTTTATATTAACATCACTGTTGAATTATTAAATAGTAAGATCACAAATAAGGTGTAATTTGCATAAGTTTTAATTTTATTAGCATATTTTACAATTGATTTTACTTTCAGTCGATCCGATTAAGTTATTGATTTCAGCATAACCTGTATAATAAAAATAATAAAAAAATAAAAGCTATTTTGTATCATAGTAATTATTTTACGATCATTATATCAATAATATCAGTGTTTTTAAATTTTCATTCAAATGCATATTAAACATGTTTGTTGCTTGGTTTTTATAAAAAAGACTGCTCTTGTTAACCAATAAACCTTAATAAGAAGCTGAATGTATGCTGTTTTTTGTTGGCATCTGCTATTAAAAAAGTTAAATATCTATCGACTAGTTTAAAAATGAGCAAAACTTAACTGAATCGGCCAAAAAATCATTCGGCAAGGTGTCTCAGGAATTATGATCTAAGGGTGCATTTATGGGGTAGGCCAGGCCAGACTTGGGCCTAAATTAAAATAAAGCCCAGCCCAGCCCACTTGATAGAGGATTTGGGCCTTGATCAGGCCCAAAATTTTTTTTGAGCTTGGTTTTGGACCTAATAAAGCCCGGCCCAGCCCATTCTGAACCCTATTTATATTATAATAATTTAGCATATTTTCATAATTTCTAAATTTTAAATCATATTTAATAAGTTTTAAATTAGCTAAATTTTCTTTATTAACTAAACAAAAATAACAAAAATAGTTAAAGCTTGCTGATTTGTATGTTAGACAAAATGTTGCAGCTTCTAACCAATCTGCAATAATTGTTAAAATTTT